TAATTCTCTACAAAATGGCTTATTCTTTTTTGTCTTTAGTTACTGAGGACAACTTGAACATTCTTCTACAAGTTGCCATACTTACTCTATAGTTAATGAGTTCCCGTTTTGATATACTAGCTCGCTTTTTGTATAGGACGTTTAGATATACAGAAAAGATAAATATTTTTGAGCACGTCAAGTGCTCTAAAACTGGTCAGCAAACACTTTATAACAGCGTTATGTTTATTTTTTGCATTTCTTTTCTAAGCAAGAGTTGTTTCAAGAAAATTTCTTTCACCTTTTAAAAATCCGGTCGATATTCTACAAAACTGGCTTTGGAAGCATTTCATTTGGAGAAATTCTTTTGCAAGAAATTAGACTTTTATCAGCGGCACTGTAGGAAAAGGTTTTTTTGTGCAACAGCATTACGCCATGATAAAGGCTTCCTAAAAGCTTGAGATTTCAATCAAAAACGGTCATTATTATAGCTTAAATAGAGTGGGATAAGCTGCGTCAAGCGGCGTTTGAATGAACTTTCGAGGTCTCAAATCTTTCGAGATAGTTGAAAAAAAATGTGTCAATAACGTAACAGTGTTACGTTTCGACAAGTCGATATACTTGAAAGAGGTTTCTTCTTGATCTTTGGATTTACTATGAGTCAAAAAATTAGCTGTGTGTTTGCTCCGTAAGATGCTCTGCTAAACTACTATTTTTCTACTATTTGTTTCAAAACTAAATTAATAAAATTTTCAATAATTATATAATAGAATACTTTTTATGTGATGCTCTCTCATCTCAAGGATACAACAATTCGAGTATACATGCATATAGAAAACAATCACTTTAAAGCAAACATGCGTAGGTCATTTTTTTGCAAATACTTCTAGAATTGTTTAAGAAATACGACGAAGTTTACCTTATTTTAAAATAATTTATTAATTGTTCATTTTCAGTTGAAATAGTACTGGTTTACTATAACAGAGTGTCTCAAAATTTTAAGACTTCTCCCTTGAATTTTGAGAATAATAGACATTTCTTCAACTAAAGGCTTCATTTCCAATCTAATGTCATATTCATGGACATATAGTAGCAGTCGATCACGTGTCATATCGCTTTGAATTTAATCAATTAGCATTAATGAATAAATTCAAAAACTTTTGAGTCTCCCTTGTCTCAAAATTATAAGATTCACCTTGTCCTTCTAAATATAAAAATATTGGATTAAAGATAACTTTACCAACTCAAATGACTCTTTTAAGGATTTATTCGAAAAAGGAGACACTCGGCTATATGCTGAAAAAAAATAGATTGATGAAGACTAATGTAATTTTCCTCCGGTTTAAGAAAGCAAATGGTGGAAAAGTTAAATCACGAAACTATCACTATGTACTTCAAGCAAGATAAATTTTCACCTCTTGAATGTAACAAAACTAAATTTAAAGTATATCATTGGATAGAAAGTCAAAAGTTGCATAGACTATACATGTTTTGACAAAAGCCTTTCAAGTTCTTAGTAGTTTCAAACAGATATTCGAAATATCTTTTTTTCTAGAGACTATGTGAAAAACGTCTGTTTTCGTGAGAAAAGCCTCTGATTTCACATCAATCATGGACATAATTCTTTTATCAAGAACATCAAGAGAAAAAGCATCAAATTCTGCATGGAATAGGCTATATTTTTCCGTTTCGTTAGTGAACTACAAAAAAAAAAACTTGAAAACATGGTCTCATAAAGTGGACAGCCAAGCCATACAACAGATTTTCAGTATTTTTTGATAAAACGTTTTTGAACAAAGTTTTTTAATAACAAATAAATATGCATCTTGTAGCGTGTTTCATGCGCTTTCATATGAGATATGACTGAAAAAATCACAGTTCAAGTACAAAACACTCATACTCTACATAAGTGAAATTATTGGTAAAACTTTTACACGATGAAACTATACTCCATTTACATTAATATGAATATTCCTTATCTTCATTTTTGAATTTTATTATATAATATGTCATACTGATATGCAACAGTTAAAACTTGGATCTAAAAAAAAACTCTGTTCGTGTAATTAAGAAAATAATACATTTCAATTTTTATATTAACAAATAAAAGAATAGAGAATATAAGCGATAGAGCAATTTATAAAGATTTAATTTATATTTCACATACAAGTACATTTTCACAACTAACGGAAGAGTTACACGATGTCTCTTCTTTTGATTTCAATGATTCTTTTGCAGTAATATGTACAAATAGACGATCATTCAAACAAAATATTAATTGAATTCAAGAATACGATATCACGATTCACTTATTGTTGAAACATTTCACTACAGATATAAACAAAATCATTGAGAAAAAATAATATTATCATGATTAGTATGTAATTATGATATTTTTCAAGTTTAACCGAATCCCGACATCTTTCTTGGATAGATTGACAAAGCAATAAAAGTTTACATTTTTACTAAAATACAATCATTGAAATAGACGTATTTCAAAAGTTTCGAAAAAAATTCATAATTCAAGTTTTTTTGTATATTGTTACCGTTATCAATTTTTTTAATTTGGTAAAAGAAAACAGAAAACATTAGACATTTCTCTCTTTCAGAGAAGCAAAATGGTCACTGTTACAGACGCTTGTAACTTGTCTTTATCAAATGAGTAGTGAAATAAAGGAAATAGAGACGCATTCAGGTGTATATCTGAAAACTTCTCATAAATCACTGTTTATAAATCGGTCTATTGCGATCGTAATGCACTGCACGATCCATCGTTTTGGTCACTCAAAAAGTTTCAAAAAAAAAGACCACAGAATAATGCTGAAAACTACAGAACTGAGCAATTGCACGTTTTTTCTTGAAGTGTTTCTTACTTCAAATTCAGAAATGACTTTTACTAGAAGAACGTTTATTTATTTTTTTATCGGTAATGATCGGAACGCTATCCAACCATAATAGAATTGAGCGAGGGCAAAATATGCCATATTTTTGGTACTCTATCTATGCTATAGTATAGAATAGTCATCGAAGAGCACTCAACATTTATTCTTTCAAGACTCTATAATTCAATGTATTTTATTGTACTGATATTCTTATATTTGATCGTTTATTGATCAAAAGAAAGTAAGTATAAATATTTTTTAAAGATATCACAAAAACCAATAAAAGTCGAATCGGAAATCGGAAGTAACGTATGTAGAATTTCATAGTCATAAAGTTGGCAGCATGACTGTAACTATATGTCTGCTAAGAAAAATTCGTTTTGCTAATTCTTCATCATTCAGGAAGTGATTTTAAAATTTAGTAACACTCAAATAAGCAATTTATTTAAATCTTCCTTTCAACACCAATAAAGTAAGCTCCAATTTGACTTTGTTTGTCATCTTAGAAAGATTTAGTATGATTGAAACTTGACTTGCAATAAACATTTAAAACAGGCACAGAACAGACAGTGAAACTCATTCTTATGAATTAAACATATTTTCACTATCAAGAAGATGTGCTAACAGATAATGACTTCTAGCTACAACAGTTATTTATTTCTTATGTTTCTTTGGTTGACTTATACTGTTGCTAAAATCGAAACTGTCAGAACTGATGATTAAGATATTTAGTAAGTCTGAACGCATTGCTCTATCTCAATCCTTGGGGACTTGAAACAACAAAAATGCCATTAAAATCATGGTATTATTTTGATATAAATATTCGTGTTCATCGATGACATTGAAACGCATTAAAAATAATGTCTGTCTCATTATTTGAATGTCATTTTTTTCTTTTTTCAAGTCTCTGAGTGTTGAAATTCTTGTGAACAATGTCAATAGGACACATTTTTGTTTAATAGGAAAGTATGTTACTGTGCGATGTCGCATGTAATCTTGTCCACTATACATATGTTATCCTTTATCTCCGCGTTCTCTCTATATACATCTATAGCATTTGTAATCTTAGTTTTTGCTCATTTGTTCTGAAGCAACGATCATATGCAAGGACATATCATAAAGAATAGAAGAAGACGTTAAAAAAAAGACAACGAATAGGACTGACACAAGGGCACAGTGTATTTTGTTTTGCATCGAGTGATGTATGTGAAGAGAGCGAAAAAAAGCTAATGGATACACATTTTTTTCCTTTATTCTTTTGCGTAGCAACTTCATGTATCTGCATATAGTGCACTTGAATAACTTTTTGCATTTGCACAGAAAGATTGTGATATGTATATGAAGAGTGATGTCTTTTTTAACTGACGAAGGTTGGCTTTTGAGGATTTCTATATGAAACACTGCATAACATTGACGAAATGGTGAAACAACTAATTATGGGTCAATGAGTATTGATGGCAATACAGTCGTATTTTCGATATGATTGTGAAAGCAACTTTCCAGAACATTTCTCATTGTAAATCATCATAGAACAAGAAACCTACAAATTTTTACGAACTCTTCAAGCGTTGATCAAAAAAAAGAGAACAATTGAAGGGTTTATGATACGTGTACGTTTGTATAGCTTCTATCTTTTTGTTTTTGAAGACTTAAAAAATATGTTGGGCTATGTATGTCAAATCGCAGGGAGAGAATATCACATACATCCATCGATTTGCCTACATTCACCATCAATACATATTGTTATTTTTTTTTTTATCAATCCTCCAACCACAACCCTCTATGCATCATCGATCACTCTTTTTTTCAATACATGAAGCAACATTATATTATTTTCTCGTTAAATTTCATGCTTCTTTGTTTGAAAAATTCTTCATTATCAATGGAAACCTTTCAGACGCTTCCATTTCAGAATTTATGTCGTTGAACTCAAAGATTTTTTCTACTTTTACCAATGAACAACAATTTTTAGTATATACGGAAAATTTTTTCAAAAACGAAAAAATTTTGAATATTTGAAAAATGTCCATTGAATACAATTTTTGACTGAATTTTCTTTATTACTCATTTCATTGAATAGTGATGATAATACTTGTTTCTTTTTCGTTGTTTTTATTCTTCAGAAAATTCAGATTTATAATGAATATAAATCAACATTTATCGTCAACACTTTTTCTCAGTTATACATGTTTGGTTAGTGGTCTAATTATTAATTTTCTTCAATTATGTTCATGTCTTATATGGCCATTTAATAAGCAACTCTTTCGAAAGATTAGTTGCTATTTAGCATTGGCTATTAAGCGTCGTGAGTATTATTATTATTTCACAATTTTCAAATTGACGAGATAAGTTTCGATCAGTTAAAATAGAAGATATTAACTGGACAGGATATATCAATGATAATAACTATTGAGTAAATTTAGTTTAGCTTGAAAACTATCTCTTTATTCATTTTAGGTAAAGATAAAATCATTCTACCAGATTTAAGCGTCTCGAAAAATGTCCATATGTTATGAATGAAGCAAGCTCTAAGCATGACCTTGACGAGATCACATAGCTACTTTTAGATTTAGAATCTACCATGAGAAGTCGTAGTGTAAAAATTATCAAGAATAACATTTTTTAAAAAATCGCATAGCTGTCACAATTAAACAAACTTAAGTTTTTACGAAATATTACTCATTCAATCACTCGCTAGCTATCATGTTTTTTTTGTGGACTTATCAGCTAGATGAACAACATGTTACACTTTATCAGGAATGTGGATTGGGAAAAGAAATTCATTTGTTTATTCAATGAAAAAATCGAGTTTTTGTGAATCGAGGAAAAACATACCGTTAAGAAGTTGCCAGTCTTTATCTGTTTTCGTTCAGAAGATCTTGAATAGTACTGATTATCACAAATAATTTTTTATTTTGTAGAACTTACCTTCATGGCTCAATGATAGTCAAAAAGTGACTGTGTTTTGTATATAAATTCAGATGATCTTCCAAATATTCCTAACGAAAATATACTTGCCTTGTAAATCTATCTATCTCTTTTAATAATTATACCTAAAGCAATAGTTTTGTTGAGAAATTTAGAATAAATCATGAACATGATATTAATTGGTTTGCTGCATGGATGGGTTGTCAACGTTGGGGTATGTTTAAAATAAATTGAAATTAATTCAAAAGAAGTTTAAGGGTTCAAAAATTGTTGCTAAACAACCTCTTAAATTTGTATTGATACTTGATTGGTGCTGGATTTAAACTGAAACAGTATTTGTACGATCTGTATAAGAAAGTGATCGTGAAACACTTGTCAAAGATCTAAGAAAAACAATTGATAATTATTGAGAAAATAATTTTTTCAATGTAAAATAAGAACAATCTTTTCTTCAAAAATAATAGTTTGCTTTGTCGTGTGAGTTTTAGCTTATGCTTTCATGTGAAGGTACTCGATTTACTGAAAATAAAAACGATTGACAAGTATGAAAATTGTACCAGAAAAGGATTATCTGAACTTAAACATCATATTCTATCACATAGAAAAGGTTCTACATCATTTAATAAAATGAGTAGAAAACCAAACTAAGTTCTTCATAGAAGTTTTGAATATAGACTTGAGATAGACTTTTTAGAATAATGAAGAAGTTAGTCGTTTTTCTTTAGAATTATAAATAAAATAAAAACAATTTAAATATTTCTATTCTAAAGTGATCTATCTAGAAACACGATCAAATAAATAAGAATAGATATCGACGACTTAATTTCATTTTTGAACAGCAGAAAAAGATGATTTAAGAAAATTATTTCTAAATCTTATTCGTTAGTATTAGTTACATTCTAATCAGACAATATTGATATTAACTGAAGAATCAAACATAAACAATTTTGAAAATTATCTTTGTATTTTCCTTGTTTAGTTCAATCGATCTCTGATGTAACAGTTGGTTTTAAAAAGACTGATGTCAAGCCAACACTTCTTAGTATATTAAAAGGATGCGCTTGTCAAGCAGAGCTATTTGTTGAGTAAGTTTAATCTTTTATGATTTCAGAATTATTCCTAGGTTTTTTTTATTAGACGTTTTCCAATTTCTGAAATACCTACTGATACTGAAGGATCTAGCAATTGGATTCATGAACTATATCGTGAAAAAAATAAAATATATGATTCTTTTGTTCAATATGATACTTTCGCAGGACATGGATTACCTTCAACTGAAATCTCACATAAGTATTTTGATTTATTAATTGAACTTGGATGGATAATTATTATTTAAATGTCATTAATTATTTATTTGTTTCGATTCCTTTGGACAAGTTCATTTCTTGCTCAATTAGTATTTGTTATTATCATATGTATTGGTAAGAAATTTTTATTTCATTAAGTTCATAACTGAATTCTGAATTTTTTATTTTCTTCAGCAACAATTCGGTGTTCGAACAATGATTGTCGTAATAGAAACTGAACGAGTTTCTCATTATGGTGAAACAAGCAAAAATGATTAATTCAAAATATTTTATAACCTTATTCTTTTTTTTATAACTATTCGATGTGATATTTCTTAAAAAGTTTGGATAGCTGACCGTTTAAAAATATCTATTGCTTCCGATTTTGTTAGTTTTTGTTAGGATTATATTTAAATTTTCTACATTCGCTATTCAAGCATACTATGTACAGTGTCAAGTTCTATACATTGTTTTGTTTTATAATTATATTTAGGATAATCATCTATCGTTTCATTCGAATTTAATTATATGTAGTCTTTCAGTTTCTTCAGAAGAAAAAAATCATAAGTATTTTTATACAGAATGAACTCAAAAAACTTATTACCTAAGTATTTTTCGAATTTCATCTGAACAAATATTTTCGTTTCAAACACTTATGCACATCTATAATCATGATGGCATAGACGTTAGTTGCCATCTTTAGTTAACAAGAAAGATCGTATAAGTACTCAAATATTAATGAGTTTAAACAACAAGTAAAAAATGTAGGAACTATTTTCATTCCAGCAGTGCCAATCGATAACTTCATCAATGATTTGACGATCAACTTTGTTAAATAAGATGGTGAACAATATCTATGCCATGATAAATGTATGTTTGTTCGTATGCAATTCAAAAAATATTTAGGGAATAAATTCTTTTGGTCTACCCTCTCATGTGCACGATAGATGCTATTCCTTTATGTCGTTTGTAATCCAGCTTTTTTTTCCTCGTATCGTTCTTTGATACACAATATTCATTTTTATTTTTATTTTTGGTCTTTTTATTCATTTAAAGAAGGTCTGAATTTGTTTGTTTGAGTAATACATCGTTAATTCTATTGATCGTATGACTAATAAATAATTTCAAAATTTCAAAAGCTCTCTTCGAAGAGTACGGCTAAAAAAAGAACTAATGATTTGTTTCCCTTGAAAAAAAAGAATCTATTGAGAAGAAAGTAAAGAAAGTGTACAATATGAAAGACATAGTGAAGATTGGACGTCTGCCAAAAAATATTCGGTCAACTTCTTTAGTAAAAATATGCTCTGTTATATCATCGAAGAAAATGATATGGATTAACGGGGCTTTCATATATTGCACATTTGGACATGTAACTAAATTTCTCCACTTTGTGTAGGTTCTCATATGTATACCACGGTTCTTCAAGTGTCGCGTGCAGTTCTGCATTTATCAATAGAAAACTGCATAAACTTGAGTATTATTCTGCAATGAAAAGAATTTGCTTCGAATCCATACATTCGCCATTGCTCATAGATGAAAGAATATTTTTTCTCATTGAAAGTATACATACATATTAATAAATGATCACAATATATTCAACATTGAAACAAATAGCAGTTTCTTTTGTAAATGACAGTGAACTGTTTTAAATTTAGCAAACTTTAGATAAAATAAATGCTACATAGTTTACAACTCAGAATCAAAATTATTGGCGTGACTCAACACAAAAAAAAAACTGATCGTTAGATTTGAAGAGACTAGTTAGTGTGATTGTTTTGTTAAGTACGTTCGAAATTTTGGTTGCATTGGAACCTGTATTAAGAAGCTTTTTTGACGAAGCCTTTGCTCCAGAAGAGACTTTCTCTCTATTTATAAGTTATAAATGCAACGTGTATTTAAGTGTGAATGTCATGTAGCATTCTGTACGTATGATAGACAGATGACAGTCACTAAAAGGAAAGATGTGTACCAATAATATTTTATGAGCCCACCATTTTTTGACCGAACCTTAAAATTTTTTTATTTGGTAGAGAAATGTAGCAAGTTTCATTTTTGAATATTTCATGAGACTATTTGCACAATAACATTAACTCATAGCGATACTCTAAAGGTATGCGTCTTTTTAACTTATTTCATCTTTTTTTTTTTTATTTTCTTTCTTCATTAAACATTGAGAAAGACAAGTAAAAATAACTGTGTCTTCAACGAAATGGTGGAGAAGGTCATCTTCTAAAAGGTTGAAGAACGAAAAAAAGTGTGCTAGTATAAAATGTGCTGCATACACCTTTGCAGTATCACATCAACAAATTGTTAAATAGATGCATTATAACCTTTATAGATGTATTTTGTTTTCTATTAATATTTATTTCATATTTTTTACAATGGATAATGGCTCAATCATTGCAATAGAATTAACTGATTCGGAGCCTATTATTCTTGATGAACAGCTGATTGATGAATTCATTGAAAAAGAAATTCAAGAAGGTTTTCCTGGTGCTGCTCTTATTATAACTCGGTATGATAAAATACTAAAACAAACTGTCTATGGTTACAAATTAAAATATAATGAAAATGGAACAGTTATAAAAGAACCACAACTATTAACATTAGACACTATGTTTGATTTGGCATCATTAACTAAAATGTATGCCACAAATTATGTGCTTATGCAATTAGTTGAACAAGGAGTATTGAACGTTGACGATCCGGTTAAAAAATACATACCACAATATTGTGGATGTAATCCTGAAAACGAATGTCGTGAGACAAGATTAATAAGAGACTTATTGACACATACAGCTGGATATGCTCCAAGTGTTGAATTTTACGATCCAGAAAGAGTTTCACCTGATTTATTCTCACAGGATAAGCATACAACTGAAGAAATTATCGAAACAAGGTTGGGATTTCAACGACCGAGAGGCGATGATCAAATGCCAGTTTACTCGGATATTGACTATATGCTATTAGGTCTGATTGTGGAGCGTGTAAGTGGCATGTCAATCGACCAGTATGTAAAGATTAACATTTATCAGCCACTGAGTCTAACGCATACATTGTTTAATCCTCTCGATAATACAAACTATCAAAAATCAGATTTTGCTGCAACTGAATTAAAAGGAAATACACGTAATGGCACAATCAACTTTCCTAATGTGCGTACATATGTATTGCAAGGTGAAGTTCATGATGAAAAGTCGTTTTATTCAATGAATGGTCTATCAGGACATGCTGGTTTATTTTCAAATTTAAATGACATGGCGGTTCTAACTCAAATTATGTTAAATAATGGATCTTATGGAAATATCAAATTTTGGAGTCAAAATGTTCAAACTCTTTTTTTAACACCATACGCACTTGATCCAACATTCGGATTAGGATGGCGTCTAAATCGTAACAAATCGTTATTGTGGTTCGGCCTTCATGCATCCGATGAGGCATATGGTCATACAGGATGGACAGGCACATGTACTGTTATTGATCCAAAGTACTCAGTGGCCATTACTTTATTAACGAATAAACGACATACACCATGTATCAATGGAACTTTCGACGGTGAAAAATACGAGACAGGAAAGTATGGTAAAATAATGACATTGGTCTATGAGTCAATGTTATTGCACGAACACACATCTGTAAAACTTTGAGCATTTACTATGAACAGTTAAATTGACGAAAGGAGTTTATCATTTTCTTTTTCCGTGGGCAATAATTTGAGTAAGGACTCTATTGTGTCCAAAGCAGATTTAAAAATATGTTTTACTGTTTATTTAATAAATTCTTTTAAAAATTAGAGCAAAAATATTAATCAAGACAAATGTATAATAAATAATAAACAGATGTAATGGATATAGAACGAAAACAAATTAATCATCTGTCATTTCCTCCCGCCAGAAACCTAATAAATAACTCTGCCATTGTGTATATTGATCACTGTTTGATCTTTAATTTTGGTTAATTAGACTTTAAGGTGTGGATGAGAAAGTGTTTGTCATAGTTTTCTTGTCAGTCTAACGCACTCATATGCACATCCTCCAAATTGTCAGCGGTAGATTTTTTAACGCAGCATTAAATGATTGTAACATTCGTCATATCTCATTGAAACAACGAATCAGCATACTTTGGTTGCACACGATGTCGTACTCATAAGGCTTTCTGAACCTTAGATATATTCCTATATACTTTTCAAAACGCACTAAGAGTGATGGCACAAAGAAGGGCGAACTCAACATTTTCACTATAAATTCTTCAATTTTCATTTTTTCAGACTAAATGTTTTTTGACGGAAGATATATCGTTCAATTGTACACCCATTGCAAAAAACGAAAGTTTCGGAAGCTTCCGCGATACACATTTCAGTTAGAAAAGAGATCATATCGCGGACAAAACAATCCCTTCTCAAGCCAATCTTTGTTGTTTCCTAATTATTCTATTCGATATTCGACATCTTTTAGAATTCAAAATAGATCTATAACTTCGGCTAGACCACAAATGAATTACATTGTTTCTAACAGAATCTAAAATCTCTTCTATTAATATTGTGAGCACTTTTCTTCTGAATCACTCAACTTCTACTTTTTGACTCCCAGTAAACTGATAGAACTCACTGAGATCTTTCATTTGAATCGATTGTATGAAGGCTGAAAGTACGCAGTCATGTCATTTGATCGATGTACTGATTCACATCGATGATTAACAACTTATTTGATTAATAGTCTACGCATTACTGATGCTTTCTATTAAATTCATTGGATAGAATGAGATATTTCGTTTTATACGGAGATGGCTAAGTGGATCAAGAGAAGCTTCTCACACAAACACTCTGTCACTTTCAAATAATAGACAGGTGAAAAATAAATGTGATTTTTTGACAGACAAAAAAATATTTCATTTTACTCAGAATTTTATGCTAATTCAGAGTACGTATTGCTATTTCAAAAAGTATTTTGGACAAGAACCGCGGCCTTATCGAGACTCTTCAGTTATTAGGAAAACACTCGGCACAGTTTTTTTTTATGTATGTGAATCGATAAAAGAACTCGAAATGTTCTGTAACCCCAATACCTGTTTATATGTCTCCACCATTTTGACACAACTTCAATAATACTTCTACTGATACTAACCACCAATACATTTGAAGTATACACTGCACAAAGAATTTCAACGAATCTTTTCAATCAATCATTGTGTAAATCAATTATCTGATCTGAAATAAAAATAAGTCAAAATATTAAGGCAATTTTGGAACAAAATTTTTATGAGCACTTGAATCTTCGTTTGTAAACTCAATTGTATCGAATATGATAATAATCCTAAGACATCGTTTCAGAGTGTAGAAATAACGATATGCAAGCCGACAATGGAAACGGTAATTGTTGTCGGATATGATCGGTCGAATTCAAGTGAAATTTCATAGATTTAGTCGTTTCTCATTGCACTTCATTTACCTGAATAATGCATTACTGTTTAAATAATGTATGAATGGGTAATCACACTTTCATGTATTTATGTTGATAAAGGTAAAAATAATAACGTGCAAAAGTCATGGTATACATATAAGAGATTTGTAATACATTCACTGCGGCAAAGGTAAATGCATCTCCATAGTGTGACAATAAAGTCTAACAGTTCTGCTGTATGCTTCGGACCTTGCATTCATTTACTCATTGTCTGGCCTATGTGAACTGTTACGCATTTGCTATTGTGCAATAACATCTATTGCTACAAAATTTTTTCAGTTCTGTGATAGGCTTCATTGTATAGCTGTAATCGGTAACTGTAAACAGGCCGGGACGGTCTGTTATGGTCTAATAGAGGTTTCTCTATCAGCCGGTATAAAAGCTTTTCCCCTTATGTACGCTTTTCTCGAAAACTTAACACTTTCTTAAACTGATGTCAACGAATATTTAAGTAGAGAAAGATCCGTCAGACTATTGAGATAAACCAACATCCATCGTAATATACTTATCATATTTGATCAACTTATTTTCGTATCAAATTGTAATATCAAAATAAGATTGAATACTTGTTTAGTATTGAATACAGAGCTGGTCAAAATATTGCAGTCCATTTCAGAGCTGAATGACCGTCAATATTTTTGAAATAGCGTGAAAGCAAAAAAACAGAAATAAATCGGATTTTCATACTATCTAAAGTCGACATGATTCTTTTTCTTTACAAAGTTGATGAAAAATTCCAGTCGCTTTTCTTCTTGGATACATTATGCGTTTTGAAAATGATTTTAATCCACTTTGAAAACAATATATGCTTTCTCAGCTATAATATACCTAACTTCTTCTCTATCAACTCAGACAAAGCTGAGATACATAGCTATTTTTGCATTTTAAAAATATAAAGATTTTACTCAACGCTATTCGCCGAATCTTTGAAAAATCTGAGCAGCTAAGAAATATTTCCTCCTGTAAGTTTCTAGTCGTCTTTGACTATATGACATGATTTATTAACTTTCAAAGATTTTTCTTTCTACTCAAAGCGTCACTATCAACCATACATAGAATTTATCTTGATTATAATGTATCAATACTTGGAGAAAGTTCTCTTAAACCTTTATTTTATTTATGCGTTTAGCAGAAAAAAATTTTGAATTCAAATCGGGCAATCGAAAAGAATTTTAAGATTTTTACGTAAATTTACTATAAAAGTCACTAATCATTAGCATCGTCATCATGATCAATGAGTTCTTCTTTGATCTCTGTGACATAACTATCAGCCTTTTAAAGTGTTGTCTCACATTGTTTGATGGCAGTTATGTAACTAGTTGCTTTCGTCTCATCTAAGCATAACTGCATTATTATGCCAATTAAGTCAGTTCAATCAAGATACAATTCGTGCTGGTATCGCATATATATATATATTATCATATTAGTCCAGGTTAACTCTATGAAAATCAACTTACAGTCTGTCATTGATCAAGGAATATGGGTGTGATGATCACTGAAGGATAAACTAACACCGACATCCATCTCATACCCACAGCCTCATCGACCTTCATATCATTGTTCGGATCGTAAAATTTCAAACTATCCTGACTGATTGCATCCTCGAATTATTCATGAAATAATTCAACTATGCTACGTATATTGCCAAAGGGATGAAATAATACTGTCTTTGATCTTTAATAAGGAAAAGTTTTGTAACCTTCTGGTACAGTTTCTCAAAGAAAAATATACCAAAAGATATGTTTTTTTTTTCATAAAAAATGACATTCCAAAAATAATATCAATAGATACCAACCGCAACTGAAAAGTCAATTTTTTGAATATGATCCAGCATTATGAAGAATTGTGATTGTTGTCAATGTTTTATAAGTAAATCAGAGTGAGCTAATATTTGAATTTTCACAACAAATTTTTCTAGACTTTTGAATGAAACAATCAAATTCAAAATTTAAAATTTTCTGCAGCCGACCTTTGATTTTATTGGTTGAAAAATCATTCGTTCGAAAATGAAGCAAAGAAATCTACCTTGAGAATATTACGTTATTGAACTATATGCTATAGCATGATAAATATTATACAAATATTTTTATTTTTTGACAATGTGACATCAAAAATTGCTTGACATATGAAACTTTTTCTCTGTATGTAGATTTTGATGAAAAACTTACATATTGACATTGTTTCTTTGAATTTAATTGATAGTAGCTATTGAGAATGTTTTTTCTTCCCTTTGAAGATCAGTAAGAAGTGAAAGCAAAAGAAAAAGCTTGTTAGCGCAGCCCCTTTGGGGCTAAAATGTGGAACTCACATATCTTCTTTACTTTCACTGTACTGATGGCAAACTATATAATGTTTAAATTCTCTCAAAGACGATAATTGTTTTCTAATGATAATTGATTGTCAGCAAATGTTGTCTTTTTTTATTTATATACTTCGAGTAGAATTTTTTTTATGAAGTTGTTATGCCCAGTGAAAAATATTTCTAAAAATAACGGAAGAGAACGCATTCATAAAAATGTAGCGACTTGTCTTTTACATGAAGAATGTGCTCTACAGCTTAGCTAACGTTTTCACAAACAAAAAGAAAAGTTCTGAGTCTAAAGAAACTCATTCTTTACTGTTCCACACTAGTACGGAATGCTTTTTTCTCAGTTCAAAAATCGTTCTCTATCTGGACAGAAAGCATTCTGAACCGTTCCATGAGCTAACAGAACGTGTCTCTGCCCATTCTATTTCGAAACAGTCAAGACAGGATTCCATCGAAATGAGACCGCTTATTTTTAACATTCTCTTGAGAAACACGTGAGAATGGATTCTTTTGACTGATGAACGCTTTCATCTGAATTTAACGTCACTTTTGATTCAAAAATGACAGCTCTGAAGTACGACACCCTGAAACGGTGCCAAAAATGGTGGAACCTTCAATTAGTCATACTTTACGACTGGCAGTTCTGATTCAAAAAAATGTTTTTTTAATAACAGTTTGAGCTACGAAAAATTGGAGCAGGCCATTAGATAGAGCTCGTCGAGTTGCACCAGAATCGATCTTTCAAAAAATTATGTCTGAACTTCTCTTCGAGAACTCTTATAGTGAATCTAAATTCAGGCAATAACGACCAAGAATGCGTTCCAAAAAAAAAAGTTAGCTTTTTTTTGAGAAGAGAAAACGTTCCAAAAAAGCTGGAACAGTTAAGAACGTATTCCAAAAAACATGGAATGTGTTCTTAATGGTTTCATTTTGGAACGCTTTCCATTTTTGTTGGAACGTCTTCTTTTCTTAAAAAAAAGAGCTTTTTATTTTACGGAACGCGTTCTTTTCCATTCTTTGAAGCAAATATTTTTCACTGGGTGGTCTGTAATGGGAAGTATGTCTGTAATGTTCTCTTCCGTTGCTATGATCTGTAATGGGGGTCTGTCTGTAAGGGGTGGGGAGCCGCGAAACCTTGAACTTAAAACTTACACTCACTATTTTCTTCGAAAATATACGTGAGTTCCGCAAAATGGCTACTAATAATGAGAAAACATTTTAAGCCTAATAGATTATCGTCGACAATATTTTATTTGAATAACAATATATCGTTATAACGATAGATGAGGAAAGAGTGTGGGTAAGGATGAAAAGAAGAAAGACGCCTACTTCCAGACTCACTCTCATACACTCCACCTATATCCATACCCACCCATAATCAATAAGAGTTCTCGGTAGGGTATCAAGGTACACAAGAATAGTGCATGGAGACCTCCTGTAGATATAATCGATATGTATAATTGGTGGTTACAGTAATTACTATGTCAAAGTATCAAGAGAAAAGCGACATACGAAAATGAATAATCACAACAACTAATACCTGAATAGAGATTTTTAATTTCAAGTATTTCGTATCAGTATAATGAGACTAAAACACCACGTGTGAATTTCACATTGTAGCCTGACAAGGACTGTGTTGACAAGTTTGTTCAATTTTTTACTTTCAAAATAAATCTTTTAAATTAGAACGTATTTTAGAAATAGTTTATTAAATTAAAGAAAGTTTTCATAAAACGACGAAATAAATAAAAACTAAGAAAGCCAATCACCACTAACTAAATGAATATGATATAGGTTTTTCTACGTAAATTATTGTAAAAATGAAAAACTTTTGAAATAAAGTCAATCTGTATGACATGAACGATGTCGGTTACTGATGAGCTTGTCTGGGTGGACATTTAGACACCTCTGGTTCAGGAGGAAGCATAGGTGGACATTTAGAGATCTCCGGTTCAGGAGGAAGCATTGGTGGACATTTAGAGACCTCCGGTTCAGGAGCACGCATAGGTGGACATTTTGATATTTTTGGAGCTTTTGGATCAGCTAAATAAAAAATTAATCAATTGAATAATAATAAAAAATCACATGATAAGTTCAAATCAATATGAAAATAATATTTACATTTCGAATCCATCGATTTTTTTTAAGTATTGGTTCTTGCTCTGAAAATGATGAAAAAATAAAATGAATGCAAAACATGCTTCTCACTTATATATTTAAAGGGTAGGGCGAGGAGGAGAAAGAGGTGATGAATAATACTCCAATATGGCTGACTGAATTTTTGATGAAAAGAAAATGATTAACTAAATGTTACACAAAGTACCTTTACGTTAATGGTTTTTGCTGATTAATCATTCAGAAAAAAAGCTTTTTTCTTTTTTGTAGAGCAAACATGCTATTTGCTTATTTGGCCTGTCAACAAATAGCTTTCAAACGACGAGCACACAAAGAAAAGTAGAATTTAGGCTTTTATTGAATTTAGCATAATAATCAATGAAAATTGGCTTAATTGAGCTCGACATCTTGCTTAAAAAATCATTAAATATGTTGTTGTTGATGATAAACTTGCTTTTTTTCCAAGGTTGAATAATTTTTTCAGTTGATATTTTGTTTAAAAGCCTTCTTTTAACTGCTTCGAGATAAAGCCTTGACAAACAACTTGAAAAATGAAAATAAAAACAAGAAAAAAGGATTTTATTGAGAACAATTTTTTTCAATATGGGTCTATGAAAAAAGTTTATTCATAGAAATAAAAATAAAAATAAAAATGTTTTTTTTTTTGCACTTGTTTTTGTTTAAATAAATCAAAAATGAATTCAATCGATTGCTTTATTGAAATATCAATCAATGAAAAACAAAATATTATATTTGAAATATGTGGAATTAAATAATACATTTTAGGTTGAAAATATGTCAAATTTTTTATAGAACATTTGAAACAAAATTTTTTTTCGGTATATTAAAAGTTCTGTTTTGAAACTATTTAGAGGTTGTAGATGGTGGATGTGGGTGTCATAATGGCTCGTCTATCGTATCGACACCCAGCACCTTTTTGTAAAGTTTTACCTAGGAACTTTTGTCTTCACTTTTATTGGCCTAACTAGTCGTACACAAAACATTCAACAGCTAGATACCACCGGTAGGTAGAAAGAAAATTGTATTATTAAAATTTTCGGCATAACAAAGAGTTATGATTATTTCAGAGTGCTTTTATATAGAAAACTTGACAGTTTCATGTAGAAAGCTTGAGTTACAGAAAAAAAAAAGTGTCACGGTTTCAGTAATTACAAGCGAAATCTTGATTCATCGACGTGTCGTTTCTCGATGGTGTGTAGAACAAAATTAGTAAAGATTTTGGTCATTTTTTGGTAAGATTCGACTCACAGTACTTTCATATTTTAAATTTAACATGCAGTTCGAAAAATATAAACTATCATTTGATTGATTTTGTCCTATGATTAGTATTCTTTATTGAATTCCTTTCTTGTTTGCTAATAAAACTCAAATATAATTATGAAAAAAAAACTATTTGTCTTTGAATTGAATATTTTTATGGCACAGAGTCAATTGTCGCAGGATTAAATAAGTTTTAATGAATTGAGAACGATACAACCAACATGTAATGATATAAGTACATGTGAATTATTTCGACTTTCAATTATCTGTTTGACAAATGTTAGTAAATTGAAATGGAATCGAACTTGATGGATTTTCAAGTATTGACGATATTCAGGATTACTAACAAAGCCATCAACGGCAATCCAACCTTTTTTAAACGCTTCTTCTTCTGTAGTTCGAGGTTTCGGACATAAACTTAAACATTGACAATAAAATGTTTGGCCATCAATTATTTCAAAATAAAGAGTACCATTAAAGATATATAAATAATTGAGCCAATCATTTGAATGATATGAAAAAGAGCAACAGTGTCATTGTTATATTCAATTAACGGAGGAATGGTCAGAGCTGGTGTATTAACAAAGATTGATTGAATGCGTTTAATACGTGGTAACAATAAGCGTCATGTTATGATTGAGAGTTTTTTAGATTCTTCATTGTGAAAAAAGAGTTCAAACGACCTATCAACCAATTGGCTTCAAAAGCACTAACAAAAATTAATTGTTGATTACGATAGATAATAATCCATTGTGGAGAACGTAAAAATGGATTTAATGATTATCCTTTGGTTGCAATGACACATTGAAATTCTGTTGAAGTCCAAAAGGTTTTTTGCCAATTATTAGCTTGAATATCATCGACAAATGCCATGTCAGTAAACGCATATGGTAAATGACGAAATACATTAGGATATTGCTTTAAATTCATCATAGGACTATGCATATCACACAATTGTTTAATTGCCTCATGGAATGACAGGTAGTAGACGTTCTAATTCTTGTTGTTACTCTTCATCGAACAATTGTGATAAACGTTGTTTTGTTCCGCCATCATCTTTTCGTTGTCTTAATACTGCATCTCTAGTTTCTTTCCATCTATGATGAGGAGTCTGTTCATATCGATTATGATGTATTTCGAATAATGTTTGTAGTTTTTTCGAAGGTTCATGCATACTTATAAGTTCAGTTATTTCAGGTTCTGAACATTCTTTAGCTAAATCTTTCATTAGAATATCTGTAAATATTGGTTGATCATCAATCCAATTGATATGTCGAAATACAGAAATTTTTCTTTGAAAATTTAAACATTGTATAGTCCAATGATGTAAACCATCCCAAGTTGGTTATTGAGTATTTTCATAAATCCAATGAAGAATATCAATCAAATTGATAAAGTCATTTGTATTCAGAAATTTTATTTTTAATGCTTTTGTTTGTTGGTGAACTTCATATGAACTTCAGAATGTTAGTGAAATGACCATTACCTAATTTTCTCATTCTCATACACGCTTGAACAAAACGATCTTTTGTCAAACCATTTCCGCTTTAAATCTTCGAGGAAATTTAAAATCAGTTCCTCGTGTATGAAGTTCATCTAAATAAAATATACAACGATCTAATTGTGCACTCGTAGGAGATGTTACAAATGGATAATGATGCAACTGACGATCACAGACAACAAGAGAATCAAAATAAAAATAAACAACATAATCAATCTTATTTTTATCAGATAGATCTAACCATTGAACAGCAATATCTCGATTAACTCCATCAATAAATGATTCTTCAACATCTAAAATAACATGAATAGTTTGTTTGTAATCTACAATTTGTTTTATAATATTTTCTGATGTTACATTGATTGGTAAATATTGCTAATTTTCATTTTCATTTTTTAGTGAATTCTTAATAACAATTGCGTCTGTTTTTTTAAAGTTCTGGTAAATCATATTGACGAATACGAACAGGAAGTAATAATTGTGTATAATTAGTTCAACTAAATCCAGTAATTATTTTTGCTCGTAAAAATAAAGTCAAATCCTAAGTACAAGCAACTATGTAATTTATATGAAAATTATTTTGCTTCACGTGGAAATACAAAATAATCAAGGAAATAATTAATTACTAATATATTGCATCGGAAAGTAGGAAAGAGATAATCAATGTATTGTTGATAATTTTTTATATTAACTCCAATCCATTACTGAATACACATTTTGGTATGCTTTTGTCATCTTCATATAAAATCAATTGATCGCAAATCGATGCAGGATCAATTTCTTCTTCATTTAAACGATTAAAATATTGAAATAATTGTGAATTACTTAAACCTGCATAGTAATATGAGAGTTGTATTAATACTAAGGAAACATCCGGATGACCAAATTCAGTTCTATCAACTACAACATTCTTGGCACAAAATGGTGCAATCGTTAAACGATTAAAAGCAAGATTTGGAGTAACACCATAATTAGCTCGATACCGTTTGTTAAACACAGCTAACAAAACTTCTGATGATAATAAACCACGAACAATGTGAAATCATTGAATATCAAGATGCGGAAATATATCAACAAGAAATTCAACTAATGAATGTATTTCTAGAATAAATGATAATATAATTGGTTTATCTATGTAACGATAATTCCTACTATCGATCCAGTCGTTTGCAATTTTTTTGACAGAGTAGCGAAAATGATTCATGTGATTGTAAACGAAAATGTGGAAAAACACTTTTACATTCAACTGGCTTATAACAAATATTTTCGCTGAAACATGGTGAAATATCTTCAGCATGTGTTTTGATTAATTCAAGGATTGTTTGATTAGTTTTCCAACGTTCTGTACCTCCATCAACTTGTTGTTGACCACCGACAGTGTAAATTACTTGATATTTAACATGTAAAATTTTCTCAGATTCATCTCATACATGAAGAACATATTTTTTAACTATCACTCAACTTTTAACATAGAACGACCAATATCGAATTCATTTTTTCGACCTTCATCAATAAAGATATATTCCATATTGACCTTTTAACCGTCAGACTTAATCAGTGAATCCTTTCTATCCATTTTATGATCAATGATACCATCTAATTTTTCAATCGATCAATGCATTAACTTGAATTAAAAAGATAATTTTTACGTTTTCTTTTCTGAAATCCCTCTTGAAGTGACTGTTTTAATCAACTAAATAATGGTGTCATCTGAGATGAGTCAAAACAACGAATAAAACAAACAATAAAAAGAGATCACTTACATTGCTCAATGATTTTTGAATAAATATGAAAAGCAATCAAATGAACTTGAAACATGAATTTATAATTTTTTTCATTCTACATTTGTCGACAGAAAAATCTAATAATTTTATACGTAGATTTTTGTATTAAATATATAACAGCTAAAATATTCGTTTGAAGGGATAAATGAGTTTATACGCATTGCTCTTGTAATTTAGACTATAATTATTCCAAAAATACAAAAGGATTTATTAGCTTCGTTCCAACACCATATCTAACAAATGGCGCAGATTAAACAAGACAATATTAGTTTTCTTTGAGAAAATCATTTGATAGGGAATTTGATTTGCTGCATTTGTTTTTCAAGTTATTTATATTTTCATTGGAACAAAATTTAAAATATTAACATTGAATCGATCATCCAACTACGATGGTCAAAAACCGATGAAAAGAATAATTTGCGCTTGAACCCTATCCAGAAGTCAAAAGCTATGGATTAAGACCAGCATAATGTGCACTTTCCAAAAACGGGCTTAGAAAGTTTTATCTCAGATATTATTCGAGAATAGCGAAGTAATCTTTGAAAGATTCAAAAAAAGAAATAAGTTTGAACGGAAAATTTTTGGTGCAAATGGTTGCTCAATTTAATCTAATAGAAAGTATCTTAGAAAGCACAAAACTATGAATCATAATCAGAATTTTGGACTCTCTGCAAAAATGGAATTAGAAATATTGTGTTTATTTCAGTTGGAGACTAGTGAAAAATTTTTTTAAAGAACCAATACAATTAGATGGAATTGTAAACAAATAGGCTTTTGTTAATCCCTATAAGTTCCGTTTTGAAGTTGCAAAAAAATTTCTGTCGAACAGGCATTCCTTTCCAAAATTTCATTGTGAACTAAGCGATGACTTTTACCTAAATGAAACTATAGGCACTTTTCCAAGAGCTCCTTTCTATAGAAAATATCTTTTGATCAAAATAATTGTATTGTAAAAAATGAAAAAAACAAGTTAGACGAAATATTGAAGTAACTGGTAGAAAAACTTCAACAAAACATTTTTACAGAGTAGCTTCTGCTCTACAGCTAATAAAAATTTCAGCCCATTCATTAGATATCTGCAAAAAATAAAAAAAAACCGTTGTTAGGTAATTGAACAAGCGTTCATCTTTTAAATATTGCTCCAACAAGAAAAATTTATTTAAAAAACAAACAAAGCAGTTATATAAAGTGAAAAACTTTCTATCGCATAGCTTTATGAAAGTATAGCGGAATGATCCAAAAAAGAAAATGATATTGTCCTATTGAATCTACTCCACTCATGAACAGTAGTAATATCAAAAATCAATTTTCTTATTCATTCGTGTTATTATTTTTCGATTGATGAAAAATTATACTAAACATACATCTAACGAAAATTATAACGAATATCAATATGGATGACATATACTGTTCATACTCTGCAATATCACTTAATATACGGAACGGTTCAAAAGTTATGAACACATTATAAATATAAATGACTCCACTGCTGATCAAGCTTAATCAAAGCCTGTTTTTCTATTGAAATAGGAGAGTAGTAAGTTTTTAATTCGCATAGGTCAAGTTTATTAACAATATAGAAAAAAAATGCAACCGTTTTGGTGATAATTTAAAAATTAAAGCGTTTTTGATACTAACAATAATATACGCCATTATTTTTTAATATCTACTTGAGTTTCTATCGTTAGTATGGATTTCAGATCATTCAGATCTTTAATTATTGCTTCTTAAAAATGATTTGTTTGATTTTTTTAAAATAGTTTTCGAATCATTAATGCATTTCTTCATAGCAAATCATTCTTCGCTCTTTGAAAACTTTAATAGACTTTGGAACGAATGTCTTAAACTATTTTATAACTCATATTGACATTACACTTGACTCTCTTGTATATCTTATTTAAGAGTATACCAAAATGAGTATTTAGAAAGTTAGAATAAAAAGTTTAAATGATCCTAAGTCATCCTAGCCAGAGATGAGCAAGTCAAAGGTTTTCTAGGTTCAAGTCACGTCCAGTCATTGAAACGTAAACCCAAGTCAAGTCAAGTTAAGTCAAAAAATGACTATATATGCTCATGTGGCCGCCGCTCATCTGAAGTACATGAAGGAATTTCTTTTTCATTGCTTCTGCTCTCATAGGTACTTTTAGTGTAGACAAGAATTAGACGCATAAATCGCAAAAATGAGAACGTTTCAACTCGTCACGTGACGAGTTGAACAAACAGCAAAAATCAGACCTTTCGTAACTCCAAAAATACAGGGATGTCGTAACGAACTTTACAGGGCGATCGTAACGATTAATACAGGGAGTTCGTAACAGTTGCAGAGCTTTCGCAATGAAGCAACAAGGATTTCGTAATGAGGATGAGGGTGATAGCTGGACTTAGTTTGCAGAAATGACATGCTTTTCGTTACGAAAGCTCTGTAATGGTACATATTAAAACACCAATTACGATCACCCTGTAAAATTTGTTACGAAACCCCTGATTTTTTGTTACGAAAGCCTTGATTCTGTCGTTACGAAAGCTCTGTAACGGGCTTTCGTACTGTCAATTCGTTACGAAAGCCAGACAAGAAAAAACGTGATGAGTTGAAACATTCCCGCAAAAAAATGTCCATGTTTTTACTTAACTTGTGATTTGACTTTGAAGGTCAAGTCACAAGTCAAGTCAAGTCATCCAAAAATTTCTCAAGTAAAGTCAAGTC